GCAGAAACAGGGTACTGTCAGGTCACACATTGCTACTGGTTGATACATGCTTTCTGAGTCCTTACAGCTAATTTAGAGTCAGAAGTGCCTTAGGCTTAGGTATTGCTGCTAAGTTAGGAGTCCTCTATGCCAATGGAAAATGTTGGGTACCTCAGAATTTGAGCTTGGAGAGGCAGAGGATGAAAAAGATGGTCTAGAGGTAGCTAATGGAACTGACACAGGGTGCAGGACCCCACTATGACTCCAGTTTGCTACTGAGAGCAGCCGGAAGGTACCTCCCACTATTTTGGATCTGAGTTCAGAAAGGTGAAAATAGCCATCTATAGTATTTGAAGACGTGGTCTTTCTTTTCTTTTAAAATGTAGATGCAGAAAAGTAGGTGAAGGCTTCCTCCTTTTTGTACCCTATCCAGTGGTGAGAGCACTTCTCCAGGATACAGCATAGCCTGGTTCAAATCCATACATTTACACAATGACATTAAATAAGACAAAATTGGAATCTGTTGGCCTATAAAATATATTATAAAGCTTATCCATTTGCAATGGCTTTCCTTAACATTGTTTGAGAGAATGATTGGCAGAATAAGGAAAATAAGTGAAAATGTTAGTTAAGGCACTTTTGAATTCTTACAATATTCACTGGGCATATTCCTGTAGCAAATAATTGCTTCATTTTTTCCAGCAGCTCTTGAAATGCATTACAAGTGTGCAGTTCTTCAAAATACCATGAAAAGGTAAAAAAATGAGTACAGATGATTGGTAATAATTTTTTTTTTTTTTAGAATTATTTGCGACCTACCAATTTATTTACAAAATATCCTGCAAAGTATCTATCACTAGTTTTTCACTAAGTAAAAACAAATATCCCAGTTAAGCTGATCCTGCTCTTTCAGTTGAAATTAAACTTAGCATCTTCTGGTAAGTAGGCAAATTATGTAATAACTATGTTCTTTTCTTAATATAACATTTATCATTTACAAGTCTGCTATTCTGTAATCCATACTTGGGAATATTTCGTTCCTAACTGAAATGCAGTCACTACCTCAGTGTAACAAAACAGCTGTTCAATAACACAAAGAAATACCATATTCAAGCTCAGGAGATTCTGTTAATTGAAAAAAGTTGAAACTGCCGATGAAGAGTCACTATTTGAAATCTAAATAATACTACGATAGTCTTAAATGTTCAGACATCCTTTAAATTGTATTTAACAGACAGCCTTACTTAACGATATGGTGTGAGCAGGAGGCTCAATAAAAACTCAAAATGACATTTTTAACCTCATTGATATCAATTACAAAAATATGTAGTTCTTTGAAACTTATTTCATAATTTTTTTCCAACAAAATTTTTAAACACATGCTTATACAAGATATACTTACATATTTCCAAAGACATCTTAGTTTTGGACTTATGAACTCTTTGGCACCATGTGTCTAGATGTTTAAAATAATTTGTTTATGGGAAATACAATTAAATGCACTGAAGGGGTTGTTCTGACCTCAGTTTAACTATTCATGCAGTTTTAACTGGCAGTCTTTCACAATTTGATATTATAAACCAAGCAGTCAGAAAGTATATAAATGAAGGCAGAAGATGATACTCTGGATTACATGGAAAAAGTGAAAAATTTCAAGATCATACTTTGAAATAAAAATTTCTACTAGTTTATAAAAGAGAAACTTTAAAAAAAATCTAATTTTTAATCCCTAATACGTATTGATTGATGGATTTATAGTAGTGCAGCAAACAACTAGCTGTTGATATCAGTATGGAATAGTAGTTTAAAAGACATTTGGGCACAGGCTATTGAAAATGTCTACTGCCAAATTGAAGGGAAAAGTTTTTATTTTACTTTGGCACCATTTTTTCTTTCCTTTGGTTACACTTAAAATAACCTGACAGAGCCTTTTCTCCATGTCTCATAAATAATATATTTTTTTAATACCTTAGCAAAAGCAGCTCTATCATCACAATCCCTGGTGAAGATCACTCTGTATTGTCCTCACATGCGCTTCTTAAATTTGTTAGCATATACGAACACGATGGAAACTTCCTGTAGCTGGAACAGAACTTGGCCATCATGTATATTTGGCTTCTTCCATTACATTTCCATTATCTTCCACTACTTTTCTCTTATGTATTTCCATAAGAAAATCCTGAATCTTGAAAGTTTGTAACAGCTTGTGAAATAAAACATGAGTGTTTACCACAAATTAAGAGAAGGCATTCATTGCCTCTGCTTCCCATAGCAATTAGGAAAGACAGGATTCAAAACTGTTGTTACATCTGGGTTCATATTAAGGGAAATTTGAAACACTGAAGACAGTGTTTGATTTTTTCATTTATTCAAGGGGATCAAACAACTTCTGGACACCAGAAACCTGTTTCAGTACCATAACAATGGGAAAGAAACAAACTGTGTTCTTTGAGCTATTGCACTGGGCTAGCTAAACAAAATACAGGGAACTGGCAACAGTCCTTCACCAAACTGCTTTAGCTAGAGTCAGAGATATTCTTGTGTGGGAATAGAAAAATTGCTTTCAAACAAGAACTCTAAACTGATTGGGACAGCTTCTAGTCTATACAAATCAGTGCGATATTATTGACATAGTCAAATCTGTTAAGTTTATTACAGAGATTTTGATCTCCTGTTTCGTATAATGAGCAACATAGTTTATTCAAGTTTTAAAGCTTCTCCAATTGCCAAACGTTGCTAACACAAAAGAATAAGATGCTGCCAGAACTGACAACTGACTTGGACTTTGATAGAGATTGTAAGGGATCAATGCACAATAAAGGACAGCTTTCATTGTCAAGGGAATCTCACTATCTTCATGGGATTCAATTATCTTTAATGTTAATGGTTAGGCAAGGAGAGGGGAAAGTAAGTTTACAATCCACCTACACTGGGCAGACTGGATAGGGAGTTTTTAGTTATGCTACTGGAGTGAATGCTTTTTGATTTGGGCTTATATGTCTGTAAAGCTTCTAGACTAGATGGTTTTGGCTCCAGAGGCTAGGCGTGAGACTAGACATCTGCCTATACTCTTATTACTCTCTGCCTAATTGATTAATAGATGAGCTTTTCTTTGTAGCAGCTAAAAGACACTTTTCCAGTTGGTTAAGCTCTTCTAAAAAGCTTTCTTTCCACACTGTATATTATTTCATACAAATATAAGTAAATCTATTTTTATATATATATATATAAAATAACAGGCAGATAAACTTATTTCTACCTTGCTTTCAAATAAAGTCTGTGTTACATGCCACTGCAGTGTGGCTACATTGGAGCATTCACCAGTCAGGACTGTTCAAAATTTATGGGGTTTATTCTCCTTTTGTCAAGCATTTTCTACATACAGAACATTCACGTGGTGTAAGTTACAGAAGAAAAATGTATGCGACAGACTACTTCAAATAAGTGAGTAACAGACAGTTTACATGATTCTTGTTTGTTCACAATGGAGAAAAGTTGTTAGAAAGGAAAACAGATTCAGTAGCTAGAAATGTAAGCAGACTCTTATCTTAGTTAAATCTACCTACCAGGAGGTTTGCTCAAGCTAAAGAGAGATCTACTTTACCACACAGGGCAGGATGCCGAATGCACACAAGATTACAATGCTAGAAAATTCTAGATTTCTAAGCAATTTTACACAATCTAAATTGCAGTAAAATTTCGTTTAAAAAAAGATAGTTTTTTCTGATTGCCTTCAGTAAATGGAGGTCAGTTTAAGAGCTTATAAGCATTCTTTAGCAAAAACATAATAAAAATAAAAATGCTCCCAAACTTTTAAGTCATTGCTCTAAGTCTGGATAGCTGTTTACTGCTGGCTTTCTGATCCTACTGACTTGTTTTTCTACTTCTGGGAATCTTATTTTTCCCATTTACATGTTTAATGATCGTTAATATTAGAATTCTAAGTAAACAAACTATAAAAAATACAAAGTTTTTGTTGTTTGTTTTTTGCACTAATCCAATTTGATGCACGGAATAGAAAACCTATTGAGCCAACCAAATGGTTTAACAAATATGGGTCAATGGTAAAACGCATTAGCAAAATCGTAAGCTACTGGTTGTAGACTTCAGTTCTTTGCATTTTCAGTGTCTTAAAATGGATTTTGTTTGTTTTTAAATAACAGTTACCTCGACGATATAAGTGAAGCTTTATGATGCCAGGTTTTTAGAACACGGTTTACTCTCAAAGGATAAGTGCTCCTTGCTGATGAAACCTTGTGATAGCTGAAAAACCTAACATCTATTTTTTTCTAAAAAAAGGTTAAGCTTCTGCAAGCAGCTCTCTCAACTAAGACTCACCATAAAAATAAACTCCTCAAATCGCAGTGATCAGAAAACACTGCAAATATAACTTCTCCTTTTTTTCTCTCCATGTATATTTCACAACTTGAGACTAGAAATTTTATACCAAAAGTTTCTTTCCAGTGACAAGCAATCCTGTAGCCACATTGGGAATAAATTATACAATTTCTATGCTTTACCTTTCATGTGAGACTTTCGTTTCAAGGCACGAAAAGATTAAACAGTGGACTGGACAGAACAGGACGTAACATTTCAGTTTAAGGAGTCAAAGGTTGTACAACAGCTCTTATTTTGTGTCTGAAGCAAACCAAATCAAAATTTGAACCATATTTAAGTCTTCCATTTACAAATGGAAAATATCATATCAAATTCCCTGAAACTTTTGTGGTTTTTTCCTACTTCTTTTAAAATAATGTATGATATTTATGATCAATTTCAATATTTAATAATTTCAGTCAAACAACACAATCTCAGCTGATAAGGAGTACCGTTATCTAATAGCTGTTGTTTTAGTTAACTTTTATGTCGAATTTGATTCAAACTGTGTTCAAGTCAAAGAAATAACAGGTATAGAAAGGTCTAAAAATTTAAAATGAAAATTGTGTAAAATTGAAAAATGGTGTCATTTAAGTGCAATGTACTGTAAAACTATTAATTTGGTAAATATCTAACACAGATTCTTATGCTTCTCCAACCCAAATTACTGTGTTGCCTCTCTCAACTTCAGTGATTTCACAATTTAACTTATTGAGCCGTCCATCCAGGATAAACAGAGATTCCTTGGAAGGGGTCATGAGATACTGACCAAAAAGGCCACTGTCTTTTATAAGACGGTTCTTACTGTTCCAAGGCCATTCGCCTGCCTTGACAGGCTCCTTCAGACTCTTCACCATCTTAACCTTGCCAGAGGAGAGCTCCACGAAGAGAACATCAGTTTGTGCGCTGGAGCTACAGTAGACATTGTATTGATGAGCTTCAGTGAACGATGGCTGAAAAGCTACATCGGATATGTGCAAATTAGTGTGAATGTCAAATGCATCTTGTATTTCTCCTCTCATTGTTATGGACTGGATCCTCATGAGACCTTTTGCATCATCAATGCTGACAAGGTAGTGTCCATCTGGAGAGATATATGGTGTGCCTGTTACATCGCCATTGTATCCAATCACAGAATCAGTAACGCTGTCCACTATAAGCTGCGGTAGGACAGCTCCAGTGGTGTCAGGCTTACAGCAGATAAAAAAATATCCTCCAAGATGTGTATAAGCCAGTGACTGAGGAATGCAATTATAATCCTTTAAACTAATTGTCTTGACGTAAGACATTGTTTCTAGATCAATTTTCTGGAGCACAGGCTCATCCTTATGAAGAATAAATCCGAACCTGGAAGGAAAAGCACAAAATCAAAGAAAGTCAGAGCTACTACATGCATTATGTACAAATGGGGAAAGCTATTATAAGCAAAGTAGATGAGTTAATATGTGCAGCAGTGTATTGCTATATATCTCAGCTTCAGATCTTTTAGATATTGAGCAGTTCGTAATATTTAATTTTTAGTATTCTAGCAATTGTAATTTAGAGTGCATCACATAAAATTTCTAAAAACCATTTATCTGATTAATAGGAAAAGTGTTTTTTTTTTTCCTACTGACATTGGGGAAAAGGTAAGCATTACTTTCAGCATATCTATTCAGTTATAACTTTTAGAAAAGCCAGGAAGGAGAAAAAGATTAAAAATCAATAGATAGTACATCCCACATACTTTAATTCACTTCATATAGTTCTTTGACTTTCTTGGGAACATCAACTTAATCCAACGCTCATTGTTATTCAGATAATTATCTGAATCTTCCTCATTTTAATTCAGTAGAAATTAATATCGTAAAAGGATTTAGGTTTATGCCTTCCAACTATCCAAGCTCCATATTTCTTACAACTTAAATGACCCTTTATGCTTTTCCATACATCAAGGAATTTTCACTGAACATGAATAATATGGTTAAACTTTAAAATCCTAGAGCTGAATATTTATAACATTTTAAATATAAACTATAAGACTATCCTCTAATGTTAATGTATAGGTTCTGACTGGACAATCATTTCACTGTATATATGCAAAAACCACCACTCTACGTATTATGGAGTCATGTGAAAGTACATTAGTTTTGCTTACAATCTAAGTAGCCTTCACAGCACTTTTCTCAAACAGCTGTTTTTCTTTGGCACATTACTTAACATAACATTTTCCTCTGAATCTTTGATCCTAAGAATGATGCTGCATGCTGATATATAATCTAAAAATACCTTTCACATCCTGTTGATATAAAGCACTATGACAGCCAGAATGTTCCAACAACTGAGTTGACAATAGCACAAAATTTTCACACTATACTTTGCAACCTGGATATATTTACTAATCAGTGAATCATCAAAGTAACAGTTAAAGAGGTTTCAGGACGTTATTCAGTCAGTTCCTCCAACATAAGATGCTTATATTTGCACTTTCTACTGAATTGATATAAGAACATTTTTAATTTTAGCCCCACCTTCCAAAATCCTTGCATACTGCTTCAGTATCATAGGATCACAGAACTATAGAATTATTTCGATTGGAAGGGACTTCTGATTTCAGTTGGTCCAGCTCCCACCCAAAGAAGGACTAGTGTGAATCAGACTATGAGATCATTTTTGTCTTTGAGTATTCAGCCACTTATAAATATATGTAATCTGAATTTAATTGTCTTGGTTGGAAAAATGGTGAATGAGCCTTTACGAAAGTTATGTCAAGATAACTTGACAACTACTGCTGCTTTTCTATTCACAAGGTCTGTTGTTCTGTCATAGAGGAAGACTAGGATCATCAGGCAGAATTTGATTCTTAGCTGATTTGGCCATCTAATATTATCCTTTTGTTAATCTTTTGGGCAGGCATAAAGTTGTTGATTCCTGATTCCGTTATTATGTAGTAAGTATTTTTTGGTCATGAGACAAACTTGTACTGTACAATGTACAGAATCATCCTGTAATAGAAAAGGTTAAATAGCAAGCAACTTTATGATATTTCAAATGTTTATGGTATAGCTCAGTGTTAAATAGCCAATGTTACACACATGAACAATGCTTAGAAAAGGACAATAGAATTAGCTTATTGATTGTCTTTTACATAACAGCCTCCAATGTAAAGCAACAATTAGTGAACTGACCAAGAGCGTTCATAACATTCTGGAAAATGACTTACGCATATCTGCTATCTAATCTTTACTCCTGCAAAACAATACCCAAAAAACCCCGCGCATCTTAAAGGGACTTTTTTCTGGATAAGAAGTGACCGAGGGCTAGACATTGTCATCACTGTTAGCTTCATTAACATCAAATGCAAAATAAAACTGAAATATCTAGATTGCTAAATCAAGCACTAAAAAAACCCCGGAAAACATAAAAGAAACAAAAGCAAATACAGAAAGTTATGTCAGAATTAATATTATTCACAATATGAACTCAGCCAAACTTCGTGACTTGTCAAGTTTATTGTGTATAATCAATATTCAGCTCTATTTCTGATATAATTAGATTTATGCAATCACATGCAGACCTCTCTTTCTTCATTCCTGCCTGACTGCAGTGTTACTGCTTTGGAATCCATTGGCCACATCTGAGGAGCGAAGGTTGTAATGTGGGGCGGGGGTGTTTCATGTGATGTAGATTGGTGGCTGAGTGGAGGACACCATAGTCCTGCAGAGGTAAGCATGGGGTGAACTCAACAGGAATTCAACATATGGTTTAGATTTAGCATGTCCATTTGGCAGGTTAGAAAACATAGAGAAGGAACACGGAGAAAAGTGGACATACTGTTGTGCAAGAATATGGTGGTTGGTACATACAAGAGAGATGAGGGTATTTTTACAGGGAGAAATTGGACGTATGGGAGAATCTGTAATTATTGCGGAACAGTGTAACACAGGGGACACAAATTACACTGGTTTATCCAAGAGTGGAGAAATTTGTTTAAAAGTGAGCTAACCTATATAATTCTGGGAAGACGAGTTCAATAACACAAATTGATGAATATTATGGATGCACTAAAATTACTTGACTTCTGAAGCAAATAGGTAATAATTACTATTTTCAAAGAAAAAGAAATATTTCTCTTAGGCCTGCCTCTATTCAATATGACTTTTTAAATTTCTTTTTTCTTAGAAGAAACGTACTTAAACTACTTTTATCAATATCTGTGTTAAAAGATAACCCTACTAAACCTATCAATTAATTATATCATTTGCATACATTAAGAAAATAAATATGATGCTCATGAACTCTTCACAATTCTCATTATTTTCATGAGTTAAAGGTATGTGAAGGCAAGGAAAAATATCTAATGTGATGGCAGGTACTAAATACATTAAATCCTTTATTTTCACCTATTACAGTATTATTTCATTTATTTTAATGTGACTACTTTACATAGCAGAGACGTTTTTTGCTTTAATTACCTTTGATCTGAATTTCAATAACGAACACAAAAAACCCTTTTCTTGTTTAAGTCTGGTACGCTGACTTTGGGTTTGAAAACATTATTTTTCTCTTCCAGTGTATCAATACAAAGTAATGGGGAAAACAATAGGAAATATTTTTTAAAAGAGGAAAACAAAGCATTCTCAAAGCTATTTTTAACTTCTATAGGTACTTAAAACACAGACTTATATCTAAGTGACATTTTCAGATATACATATATGTCCAGAAAAGCAATTATGAGATTCTGAAAATCCCATCAGATACCATCTATATCATTAAATAAATACTTCTGAAAGTTTGACCTCTTGTTTTCAGAAACTGTATTAAACATAGTTGAAAATTGCTTTCCGTAATAAATCAGTCATGTAACATTCAAACATATTTGATAAAATTTATTGTACATGTGTGTCCAACATATTTCAAGGTACTTTTATTTAACTGAGGAAAAAGACTTAAGATCTCACTGTATGTTTTGAGCTACACTCTAGTTTCTAACCCACCTGAGAGAAAACACAAGGAATATTAAAAAAAAAATTATATCTATATTAAAAAAAATATATTCTATCACAAAACAAATTTAAGAATTTAAATAAATATATTTTAAACTGGAAAACCCTTAAACAATTGTTTTCATACGTCACATATCAACCTGACAAGCAAAAAGAAGTAACCTTTGTGCTGCTTGCAAATCTATTTATTCTAAAGATTATTCCAGCTGATGAAAATGACCCTTTCTTTCTGAAGTAAAATACAAATGCAAAATGAGGTTAGCATCAATTACCTAAATCAGCAATTCTTACTTGCTGATTTAAATCATGACTGAAATTATTAACTTAAATCAGTTTGATTCAAAGAAATCTGCCTTACTTATGAGTATTACATTAAGTAGTTTTAATGATCAATTCATGTGATGTTTTTGTATTTGAATGTCATTGATTTCAAGAGAAATACACGTTATTAATCTTTGACTCTCAAACATTATTTCCAGCCTAATATGCTTTTGAATCACAGGTATATTCAGCTTATGTTGACTTTGGTTGCATAAAACCCTTGATTATCAAGAGAGTGAATATGTTCTGTAAAGTTAAATTAAAGATAAGGTCTTACATACTTTCCCCAAGTGTTACATCAGTTGAAGGTGTGGAAAGACTTGACAACTAGCTTTTCCCACAGATGAGAATGTTGCCATTGGTTTGTCCTCCAGCTTCTCATTACCTAGTGGTACTTTCTGCCAGATGAATCTTCTAAATGGTGAGCTAAGAGGTTTGCATGAGCATTTCCCAATGCATGGCATTAAGATGAATTTAGTTATTGTGGAATTATTTAAACGCTTGAAATAGTGTCTGTTGATTAAACTGATTGGTATAAATGAAATAGTTTAGGAGCCAGAACAGAACGTGGGTATAAACTTTCCCACTAGCACAGGTAGCTTTAAGGAAAGGATGTTCATCTACAGAAGGGACTCCAGATCTTCAGGGTTAATCACATCCTTATTCTAGAGTGAATCAGCAAATACATTTTAAAACATAAACCAGCTGGTAACATATCACGTCTCAAGTATTTCAACCACAACTTTCCAAAGTGTTCGAGCTTCTTATGCGGCTTTATCTATCTCTTTGTAACACTTAGTTCCTAGTTCAAAAGCCGCAAGTAAAAAGCTTACAGTGTCTTGGAGAGATTGTTTTACAATTTAAATAGTGGATTCAGCTTTGGTAACTGAGTTTACTTGAAAACTAAAGAATCTGGCTTCAAGATTGCAACAATCTTATCCTGTATTTGTTGCACTTAGGAGATCTACTGTCCCTTGCTCTGAAGCTATTAAGATACCTGATTTTTTTTAACCTCCTACTGCAGCAGCTAATCACATATGT